CCCTCTCGGCAGGCGCCGGGGCCGCGCGGCACTTTTCCCGGTCGGTTCTCGAGCGCCAAACGCTGGGCTCTGGTCTCTGCCCCCTGGATTTCGCTCCGCGCGTGGGCGGCGGAAAGAAAACCAGAAGCGGTAAGTGATACAGAAACTGCGCCCGCTGCTGGGATCTGACCCGGCGGGGCGACGATCCGGACCTCCGCCGCTGCCCCCGCCCACGAAAAGCGAGTTCTACCCTCTTTTCTCAGATGAGATAAAGATTTTGCTCCTGCCTCTGTGCTCCCCCGCACCCTGCTTGTTACACACTTTGAAAGGACCGGCCTGTTAATTAACTTTAATTACAATCATTGGCCTCCACCTACTGAACCCAGCACGGTGCAGTGGGACCTGCGGAGCAGGAGTTTACGGGATCGATCCATCTCCTGCACTTTTGGAGACAGTTCTCTTGGGAGGATGGGTGTCATCCTGTTTATTAAAGTAAGTTGTATTTTATTTCATTCTGGCTGGTTTTCTTCGCGACTTTTCCCACCTCCTTCTGGCAGTCTGGAACTATTTTGGTTCGGGGAAGACTTCTCGAAATTATATTGTGAGCTATAACCTTTGATAATTGCAAGGAAAGTAAAAGAGAACGATAAGGTAGTTTGTGAGGAGTAGTGACGTTTTAGGCTGTTGTCAGTTTGTGGTGATAGGAACTTTCTGGCTTTTCCTCCTCCTCCTCCTCCTGTTCCTTCTTTTTTTTCTTTTTCTTTGCAAGCTTGTCCTTGAAGTGGGCTGTTCAGTGGAATATATCCTTTGGGCTTACGAACAAGTGTTTTGAAAATAAGCTATTTTTAAAAGTACATTTAATCGGATGTCATTGTTATTACCAATAATAGTATTGTACTTACAAGCTCAGTATTGATCTCCCGGCACTTAAGCACTCTGCACCAGCAGGAGTTTATGGAACGTTGCCCATAAGTAATTGGAAGGTGAAGTTACGGGTGTTTAAAAAGAATGCTAACTTTTTTAAGGGGGAAAAGAAAACCCTCTGAACTCTTTTCTATGGCTTTCGTACACCTTAAAGGGAGGTATGCAGGGAGCAGACTCGTGACAGTCCACTGTTTAACAATGTTTTAAAAAAGAAAAAAGTGGGTCATGGAAGTAGGCTAGAGCCCAAAATGGAAATACCTCCCTGGCTACTTTCCAAAGAGATATTTAACCCACACCTTTAAGGCGGGTCCTAACACCAAGAGGGTTTTATATAGACTCGATTTGTGATTTGTCAGTGCCCAAAGATTTATTAAATTAAAATGTGCCTAGAGGGTAAGTCAAATGGCTCATTAAAACTTATTTATGTGGGTGTGCATGTGTTTGTATTTTTTTCTTCTCCTGTAAACCCGTCAGATTTTATATGGGTTGCCTATGCAGGGAGAGGCTCATGGTACATTTAAAAACAATTGATCATTTCCCTGATATCATAAGTTCTTCCCAGTGAGGTTCATAGATATTCAGTGAATACTTTTCAGATTCAACTACTCTTAGTCACTGTGGTTAAATATAGAACTGATTATAATGAATTTCAGTTTTCATAGGAACTGTTAGATTAGCATTTTTGAAACTGAAGTTTTTAAACCCTATTTCAGAATCTGGATTATGGACTTCAAGATATCTAGGAGGGAATCTCATTTTCTTTATTTTGTTGCTTTCTTACCCACGTCTTTACAACTCAGAAAGTTTGGTGAAAGTGACTATAAAACGCTGAGTGTAAATGACAGTCATTGCTTTAATAGCTTCTCTTAGCACGTGTTCCCTTCTTTACTTGTTGATTTATTGGGTTCAAATTGTGCACTTGGTAAAATGTGGAAGTTTTTGGAACTCTTTATAAACTGTTAGGTAGAGATTTTAAAGATAATGCTGGAAATGTTTCTTAGTTTTGATCAAATGTGACAGATGTGAAAGAAAGGCTCACAGATGTCATCTTGATCTTGCTTTATAGTTTATTTCATTTTTTAAAAAGTATTGGCCAAATTAAGCACAATACTAGTTAAGCCATTTGGCTTAATAATAGTTATTCTCTTCTCATGCTTCTGTCTAGTTAGAAACTTGTGCAATGTTACACTTCTGACTCAGCATAAGCTGTTTATGATTTAGGAGGGAACAAAAGAGCCCTAATCTGGATTGGAGTAGTCATTTCATTGGGCAGCTTTGGTGATGAACAATACTTGTGGCAAAAAGTCCTGTGACTTTCTCTCTTACACTGTTCGTGAGTATGGGGATGAGCAGGTGAGGGAATACTCAGAGACTGATAAGATGGCTTTCACCAAAACAGAATGCAGAAAGGACATCAGTGGTTACAGTGTGTAGAGCATGAGGAGGGAAGGGTTTGATCTGTGGAACAGAGGAGGAGACTTGTGGTTTCTTTTCTAATCAGAGACTTGAACTTCTGGAGTTGGTGATGGTGAGGACTTTACAGATTTTTCCCTGTGTCTTCAAAAAGTGCAGACTCCTTACTCTGCTCTTCAGGGCCCTCCAGAGCTGACTCTGGCCTGCAGCTCTGGTGTCATCTTTCAGTGCTCCTCAAGCATCATGGATCCATCCCAGCTACTGTGCCTCCGTGCTGTTACTTGGTGTTTATTCCTCCCTTCTGCCGCCTTCATGGCGTTCCTTCCACTTTTAAAGAAAAAGGAGGATACACTAGAGTCATTTGTAGGAAAATGATGCACCTTGAGATCATAATGTTAAGTGAAATATATCGGATACATATACTTAAATATTATATGGTTTCTTTTACATGAGAAACCAAGAATATAAAGAGCAAAATAAAAGGTAAATAATAGGAAAAAGGGATAAATCTTTGAAAAAAGAATTAAGAAGTGTTCCAGCAGGTTAAATATTTCTAGTTGAGCCTTTAGTTCTTGGATTCATTTTGATTTTAGTACATGGTAAGAATATGGATCTAGATTCAGTCTTCAGCATGTAGGTAGCCATTTCTCCCAAAATCATTTATTAAAGAAGTTGTCTTTCCTCCACTGTGTGTTTTAGTCCCTTCCTCAAAGATCAAATAATTGAATGTACTTGGGGTTGTTTGTGCTTTTTTTTTTTTTCTGTTTCACTGATCCTTATGTCTGTTTTGTGCCAGTACCATGCTGTTTTTATCACAGTAGCTTGGTAATATAACTGTAGGTCCAGGATTGTGATGCTTCGTGCTTTGCTGTTTTTACTCAGATTTGCTTTTGCTATTCTGGAGCACAGTTCATAATAGCTAAATATTGGAACTGGGTCATATGTCCATCAGCAGATGAACAGATCAAAGAAAATGTGGTATTTACACATAGTGGAGTACTACTTTGCCATAAAGAAAGAAAAACTTGAGTTCTTTGCAGGAAAAATGGATGCACTTTGAGACCATAATGTGCAGTGAAATAAATCAGATGCACAAATTTAAATATCATGTTTTCTCTTAGATGAGAAACCCAGAGTAAAATTAAAAGATAGGTACTGTCATAGAAAGTAGGAAAATAGATTGTTAAGGAAAAGGGATCGAGGGATGGGGGAAGGATGGGGTGAAGGAATATGAAAAAATGAATTGGGGTGTGTTGTGAACATGTACCAACTTCCTGCAAGAAATGTAACCATTATGTACTGCACATGTGTACTAATAAGCTAAACTAAAATAAATTTTAAAAAGAACTAAAATGCATTATATACATGTACCAGCTCCCCACAAGGAAGGTAATCATTATGTATTACAAACTTATACTAATGAAAAACAAAACAAAAAAAAATGAATACTGCCCTCTCCACCTGTAACATTTCTTTGTCTACGACTTGAAATTGTCATCATTAGGCCCTGCAGTGATCCCCTCCATTGGCACAGCTCTGAGTTGCTGCAGTGTTGTGCTAGAGTCATGGAGTTGACTTGAGATATTTTAGAGTTCCAAAGCATTCCTGAAGCATAATTCCGCTTCTCTAGGTGATTAAAAGTAAACCATAGGAAGAGTAAGGTTCACAAAATTATTTTTTAATATCATTATGTCTTAGGTGCTCTTTTAGATATAACACATTTTTCCAAAATGTTTTGTTTTGCTATTCCTTCTTCACTGGCACTGAGAAGTAAAGAGATTGATTGTTCAAATACACATGATTGTCCTTTGCTCATTGTCATGTCTAATCTGCCACTGCATTTTAAACTCTTGGAGGGGGCCATTGTATCTTCACTTTCTGTGTAGCTGTTAGTCCTGTTTTCACATGATGTAATAGATACTGTTATCTTGAACTGCAAATATTTCCCACTATTATCTTGGAGAAAGTAGTGTTCCTTAAATATTTATTAAATGAGCAAATGTAAGTAAATAGACCAATAAGTTAGGAGACATTTGTTGAGATATTTTCTTTTCATTTAAAAAAAAAGTCTTGACAGTTACCAAACCAATAGGAAGCCCTCAAGTTCAGTTGGGAAAGAGGTCAGGGTGATATTTATAAATACAAAGAGGAAATATTCATACTAGGCTATTTTGAAACATCTGGTTGTTGGTTTAAAAATGTGAGTCATAAGTTCAGAGATAGTACAGTATATGGTTGTACACAAATTTTTATATCAGGGTGTAGCATACATACAGAAATGTGTATACACCATAAGCGTACATTTTACAATTTTTGTATTGAAGTATAATGACCGTTTTCACCAGAGCGAACATTAAAGCTGTGTCTAACATATCATGAAATGGGACAGAATTCTGCAGAATAAGTTCCTGTGAAGAATAAGGTCACTAAGGAAAGATGTCTGCTTCTGTTTCTTTCGGTTGTCTGTATACAGATATGTCCCACTGTGGAGAGGTACAAGCGGCCAGTACCAGGCCTTGTGCAAGTGCCTGAAGGTTAGAGATGCGCAGACCAGTGTCTACCTTAGTGATGCAGGCTTCATCTCTTCTTTCCATGACTTCCACTCCTGCCCTTGGGGAAACTGTAGAAGATGAAGTCTTTCCTTGGTTGCCCAAGAATCGTGGTTCTACTTTAATTATCTTGCCATTAGAATTTATAACAAGTTGCAAACCTCAGCCAATTAACTAAAAATCTAGATGGGCAGCTTAAAAGACGAAAGGACTTACTAAGATAGTATCAAACACTTAACCATGAAGATATTATCGAAAATCCCTAAACCTTGGTGTTAGCTGTGCTACTGATTAACTGCCCATACTAAAGAAAGGAGTTATAGGGGCTGGGGATTTAGCTCAGCGGCAAAAGCGCCTGCCTGGCAAGCGCAAGGTCGTGAGTTCAGTTCCCGGTACCGGAGAAAAACCAAAGAAAGGAGTTAAGACTCCTGGCCTTCAAGGGTATGGACATACATAGATGTTAAATTCTGGATTTTGAGAGTTGTGTTTTTTCAGATTGTACATTAAATTTTATGATAATAAAAATATAGCTTAAACTAATCCTTTTTCCTTGATGCAAGCATGAAATGATTTTTGCCTGGAGCCTGCCTATTTTAAGATCAAACT